AACTGAAATAGGCTGGGAAAATCCAAGGACCCACCAGGTATGTTGTCTCCCTGGAGCAAGGTTTAGGAATGGATGTGATGCCATCACTCAAAAAACAAACAAACCCCACAGATGCTTCTCTCTGTCTACTCATTCACTTGAGAACAAATGACACAGCCAAGAGAGCTATGAAGAAATTACATCAGACTTTGAAGCTCTCAGAAGGAAACTCAAGGACTCTGGGGTCCAGATAAACTTCTCGTTCATATTACCAGTACTCAGAAGAGGAACAGAAAGGGAAAGGGAAATACGTCAGGCGGATGGCTGGGTATGAAGGTAGTACTGATGTGACAGATTTGGATTTTGGGACTATAAGCTAAGCTTTCTTGAAGATGGGCTGTGATGGGTTGCACCTCAGAAGAACTGGGAAGAATGTGTTTGGCCACAGCATGAAGAACTTCCATCAGGAGGCCTTTAAACTGAATTGGAGGTGGGAGGGGTATGAAAGCTCAGTGGTAAAGATAGATGAGGGCATATATATAAAAGGAGGAACAGACTGAGCACCACTAATGGGGCCCAATAATCTTCAAAAAAGTAGGAAATAAAGCAGTCCAGAAATCACACAATCTCCGACGAATGCCAGGAATGTGGGAAACAAACAGTAAGAATTGGAAATCCTAGTTCAGTAGAGTAAATAGGACTTGATAGGGATAACTGAAATTTGATGAGATGACTCTCATGAACGGAATACAGCAATTGAAGGATTTTTTTTCAGAAAGAGAGATGGAGTAACATTATACATAAAAAACACATATTCCTGCATACAGTAAAAATACAGGATGACAAGTTTGATTGTCCCACAGAGAGCATCTGGATTAATATAACTGGCAGGGGGGGAGGGGAAACAAAAGGAACATGATAGTTGGAAACTACTACTAACCTCTCAGGAAGACGATACAGATGAATATTTTGAAAAAATAAATTGCAATAATTTGAAAAAACACTTTGTAGTAGTACTAGGAGACTGATATCTCTTTGAAGACAAATTCTGCCAAATATGGATCTTCCAAGATATTCCTGGCTAGTATGGTTGGTAATTTTCTCCGACAAAAAGTAGAGGAAGAAACCAGAGGAGTAGCTATCCTGGACTTGATCATAACCAATAGAGATGACTTGGTGGAAGAAACGGCAAGAAGAGGAACTCTGAGGGAAAGTGACCATGTTCTACTTGAGTTCTTGATTTCAAAAGAAGAGTGTAGCCACATGTTGATACTGAACTTTAGGAAAGCCAGTTTTATTCAATTCAGAACAAAGATAGGTAAGGTCCCATGGCAGGAAATTCTAACAAGAGGAATCCAAGATGGGTGGGAGTTTCTTTAAAAAGGAACATTTAAAGAACTTCAAACAATAAAAAAGATTGAAAACAGCAGCAGCAACAAAAGATGAATGTGACTGCACAGAAAGCTCAGAAATGACATGAAAACAAAAAAGGACACATAAAGGAAGTGGAAAGAAGACTAGGCTACAAAGAAAGAGTACAGACAAGTAGTAAAGATTTGCAGGAGGGCAAAACCTGTGAATGGGCTGAGGTTAGCAAGACATACAAGAAGCAACAAAAAGCATTCTTCAGCTAGGTGCCTAGCAAAAAAGAGAGAGAGGGAGAAAGAGAAAAGAAACAGTGGCTCACCTACTTAATAGAGATGGGAAAATTATAAAAGACAAAAAAAATAGAGGCAGAAGTGCTCAATTCCTAGTTCAGCTAGGTCTTCTCGCAAAATACAGTCTATATTCCACCAGGCAAATGGGAACTACAAAGAGGAGGGTATAGGATTGCAGCTTGTGATTGATAAATGCTTAAGGGATAGAACATGAAAGACACTGCAAAGTGAAACAACTAGAAAAATTGGCAGTACCTGAACACACCCTGAAACAAGCTGGACATGAAACCACAAACACTAGCACAGCTTCAACAAAAAAGAAGAAAGTCTAAAACTCAACAAAGCCTGGCTCCCAGCTCTGAAAAATACAGCTTGCAAAAAGGTCAATGAGCTCTACCCAGCCACGAGGACCAGTGATCACTGCACATAAAAGACTAGCCAATGACACCCATCAGTCACAGTGACAGATCATCTCCCCCTTCTCACAACAAAACACCCTTAACAAAAAAAAGTCCTGATCACAGGAAACACCCAATATCCTGAAAGGACCAAAAACCTGATTCCACAGCTACAAATACTCAACAACCCCACACACTACAGAGTTCTAGCTCCTGTCTCCTGAAGATGCCAGCTACAGACACTGGCAAAATTTTAGGAAGAAAAACCTCAAGAACACAGCCAAACAGTCCAAAAAACCCAAAACAAATGAGTTAAGAAATACCTTACAACTTTAAATGAATTCAAATCTCCAGAGTTGGGTGTACTGCATTGAAGGATATTGAAGGAACTGCCTGAAGAGATCGCAGAACCACTGTCTATTATTTTCTTAAAATCATGGCGAATGAGTGAAGTGCCAAATAACTAGAAGCCAACATGGATTTGTCAAGAATAAATCCTGTCAGACTAATTTTATCTCAGTTTCTCATGAGTTAACCTCCCTGGTAGATGGTGGGAATGCTGTACACACAATATATCTTTACTTTAGCAAAGCATTTGACAAAGTGTGCCTTGATATTCAG